AGAAGGACCAAGAGGAAACTGGGAGACTGACCCAGGCTGACAAAGCCCATACAGGCCGAGTAAGTTATAGAGACACATCCACAGACATTGCAAACAATGGGTAAACACATCAAAATAAACCACCATATGTAACTCAATACCAAAAGCCAGAGAATTGGATTGAAAGGTAAATTTTAAAGTTCAGCTACAGGTCAACGACAAGCGTTTCAGATGCTCTCGTGTCACCACAAAGATCTAATTTTAACCCCTGATTACAGGCCTTTGGCCTTCATTGTTCTGAACACCAAAATATAGCCCGAAAGTGCACTATATCATCCAGAGTACTGTTCCTCACACATTCTTCATAATGGGTCACACAGGTGAAGCTGGAGCTGTATGTGGAGTACTTCAGGACCATTGGCCTGGCCCTCATCATCCCCATCATCTTCCTCTATGCGTTTCAGCAGGCTGCCTCCCTGGCCTACAACTACTGGCTAAGCCTGTGGGCAGATGAGCCGGTTGTAAATGGAACTCAGGTCAACACAGATCTGAAGCTTGGTGTTTTTGGAGCTCTCGGCTTTGCACAAGGTTAAATATCCTTTATATGTCTCAACCTTCATGGAGTATCCTTGGGCTTTGTATTGTTCTTGATCATTAACTGTGATGTCGTATTGCAGGAACTGCAATTTTTGGGACTACTGTGGCTATTTCACTTGGAGGAATAATTGCATCCCGGCATCTTCATTTGGACCTTCTCAACAATGTACTTCACTCTCCCATGTCATTCTTTGAGAGTACACCCAGTGGTAATCTTCTCAATCGTTTCTCAAAAGAGATAGACGCCATTGACTGCATGATCCCTGATGGTCTAAAGATGATGCTGGGCTATGTGTTCAAACTTCTGGAGGTTTGCATTATCGTGCTGATGGCAACTCCTTTTGCAGGAGTGATCATACTGCCACTGACTCTCTTCTATGTCTTTATCCAGGTATGCTACTACAGATTGCTCAGCAGGCAAGAGTATTATAACAAGGAGCACCAGTCATTTATCTGCCATCTATTCTCCTGTGTTTTCAGAGCTTCTACGTGGCCACGTCCTGTCAGTTGCGTAGACTAGAGTCGGTGAGCCGTTCACCCATCTATACTCATTTCAACGAGACAGTTCAAGGAGCCAGCGTGATCCGGGCCTTTGGTGAACAGCCTAGGTTCATCCTAGTGGCTAACAGCCGAGTGGACCACAATCAAACGTCCTATTTCCCAAGATTTGTGGCCACCAGGTCAGATTCAGTCTTATTCATTCTTTGTTACTAGTCCTGGCCCTTCAATCTAACTCTGTACAATATCTTCAATGTTATTCCAAAAGGTGGCTGGCAGTAAATCTAGAGTTTCTGGGTAACTTGCTGGTCCTTGCTGCAGCTATCCTCTCTGTTTTGGGAAGGGCGACTTTAAGCCCTGGAATCGTAGGTCTAGCTGTGTCCCACTCTCTCCAGGTAAGGAACTCATTAAGCAAGTCAAAAAGCCATGCATGTTATTTTCTGCCTATTAGGGAAGAAGTTCTCAAGAAAAATAAATTTCAGGTAACTGGGATCCTGAGCTGGATTGTGAGGGCATGGACCGATGTAGAAAACAACATTGTGTCTGTTGAGCGAGTGAAGGAATATGCCGAAACAAAAAAGGAGGTAATGCTGGTTTAAATGCTTTGTTTTTCACATCAATTCCTTTATGCAAAGTGACCCCAAAGTATATTTTTACACTCATTCTTGAGGTCACTAACTCTGTCTTGGGTTGTCGCAGGCACCATGGACCTTCGAGGACAGTCCACTCCCGTCACACTGGCCCAGATCAGGATCCATTGGATTCCAGGAATATGGACTTCAGTACCGCAGGGGTCTTGACTGGGCCTTGAAAGAAATTTCCCTCAGTGTTAATGAGAGAGAAAAAGTAAATATAACATCTGGAGGAAATAAACACATTTAGTTTTTTTACTTTTTATTACGTACTAAGCCGTTCATCTAATCCACTCAGGTTGGAATTGTAGGAAGAACAGGGGCTGGAAAATCATCTCTAGCTCTCGGAATATTCCGGATCCTTGAGGCAGCAAAAGGAAAGATCTACATAGATGGGATAAACATCGCAGAGATTGGATTGCATGAACTGAGATCTCGTATCACCATCATCCCACAGGTACAGCTGAAAATGTAAAAATATTTAATAGCAAAGCAATGACACAAACTTAGATTTTTGTGATTTTTTCACAAAAAAAAATATTCAATGATTGAGTGCTGTAATTACAACCACCCCTTTTTGCCCAAGGATCCCGTGCTGTTCTCAGGTTCCTTGCGTATGAATCTGGATCCCTTTGATGGGTACACTGATGAGGAGGTGTGGAGATCTCTGGAACTCGCACATCTCAAGAACTTTGTGTCCGGCCTTCCTGACAAACTCAACCATGAGTGTTCAGAGGGTGGAGAGAATCTCAGGTATAAAATCTTGACAAAATTCCTCCCTCTTTATCACTTGACTAATACCTGATCTGATTGTTTCTGACTGGATATTCTGGGCTTTAGTTTGGGTCAGCGGCAGCTGGTTTGCCTGGCTCGAGCTCTCCTCAGGAAAACCAAGATTCTGGTTTTGGATGAAGCCACTGCAGCTGTGGATCTGGAGACGGACAATCTGATACAGTCCACTATCCGAACTCAGTTTGAGGACTGCACCGTTCTGACTATCGCACATCGCCTCAACACCATCATGGACTACACAAGGTGCAAAAAAAGTGCACATGTGTATTTCTAAGTAGAATACTATTGTGATTAATGACAATGTTCTAACCCGGTCCTATTCAACTGTTCCCAACAGGGTGATTGTGATGGACAGAGGGCACATCACAGAGATGGACTCTCCATCCAATCTGATCTCTCAGCATGGTCAGTTCTACCGAATGTGCCGCGAGGCTGGGCTAGTGTGATCCTGTAAAAGAACCACCGGTGACAGAATCAACTCTTCACTCGTGAGAGACTATGAAAATAATGGTGCAGAACATCTCACCAATACACCTTCTGAGACTACCTGAAACTTTTCATCACAGTACTTACCAAAGGACATGTCTTGCCTTCTCAATCAAGAGAAGCACAAAGCTCAGGATGAAGAGGTATTGTCCGTAATAGCCGTTCTACAAGAGCAGGTGTCCACATTTTCTCCAGTATAACAGAAGCGGTGTGCTTCAGCATTCTCCTGTTGAATCTTTATCTGAGATGCTAAAGGAACAGACTGATTCTCTCATGTCATCAACATTCTCATCTCAGAATATGAAGACTTGAGTAGGTCAGAATAATGCACACTTCAGATGGTCAGATAGTATGCATAGCCATAGCCATGTTCACCATCTCTCATTGCTGTCAAATTGAAGTTTTGTAGAAGATCCTGAAAAGACACCGCTATAGAACTAGTCAAAATTCTACTTGAAGGAGTTTATTAATCATCATGTCAGCACATTAAACCCTGAATTCTTATAAAGGTGAAAGATGCAAAGCTATTTATGATGTGAGAAACATCGATTCATGTTAAAAACAATGCAACAGTCATTCTTATAAAGAATTTGTCTGTTTTAATACTAGTACGTTTTCCATACTCTAAAACTTTACGTCAGTATTTATGCATTTTGTACTGTATGATAACTGTATTTTTATATATTTATAACCTTTCCATGCACACTTCATGTGTGACTGTCAGACTTGAAAATGCTATTTTTATTCTCTGAAAAGCTTAAAATAAATGTTGGTAGTATTGATTAAAGTACCGTTTTTTTGTTGTTGTTTTTTAAAGTAAAGTTTTCTTTCTCTCTCTGACAAAGTAAGAAAACAGGTTCTTAAAGTTACGGTTAAGTACAATGAGATACAAGATAAGAAAAACAGGCTATAGGCTCTTTACAAAAATTTATTCATATTTCCCCTTTACATAGCTTGATTTATGAAACTAAGTACACTTAAAACTATTGCATGTATACAAATATCAAATAATTACCTTTATGCTTACATATAAATCATACAAGTATGTAACTTTTTTTTTTTCTTCATTTAAAGTCTGTCTTTGTCAGTTCTTTAAAAAAAAATTGGCCTTGAAAAAAACTCAAAAGGCTTAAATGATCTAGAGTGGAGGAACTGATGAATGAAACAGCATGGCGCACTCAAGCTTACATTCAACAGATATGTATAAGGTATACAGCACACAGCACACAGCAATCTGCACGAAAACCTGTCCTTACAGAACTACTACAATTTGGGTATCTGAACTTAAATTGGTTTAGGATAAATCCTGCTAAATTAAAAACAATATCACCCCCACCAAAACAGGGTGGTTTGACCTTTTTTACACAAAACAATATGTGCATTCATTGTTTTTGGTAAAACGATCACTGAAAAACAATAACAGTAAACAAGGATCATAAATCAAATACGGTAGCTAAATACATTCACCAATGAAAGCAGTAGGCCAATGTAGCCTCTACTGCATGATAATAGTAAGACGAGGCTTAAGTCACCATCAGTGGGTAATACCCAGTAATAAATATGTCATATGAAAAAAATAATATTATATGAAAGAAAAGAAATATATTGTAACAGATATTCTTAAAAGTATAAATAAAGTTTAACTGAGAGAAAACAATGGCTTTATGGATAAAACTCAAATGTCTCTTTACAGAACTTTACTTTGATGATGAGAATAGCTTCAAATATTAACTTTGGCGTGGGATGAAGCCCCTCACGCTCACGGAGGGATTTCACAGCAGCTGTTTGGTCAGTATACAACTGACCATTGCATCAAAGGTACACTGCACAGAGAAACTTTGTTCTGTACTCCTTCAAGTGAAACAATGTTGCAAACAAAGGTTTTCATCACCAACTACCAGAAAACGCGTGGTTTAGCACTAAAATCAGAAGTCTTTCAAATGAAAACTGACAACAAATAAAGTGATGAAGAAATCAAACTAGTTTCAAACATCCCAAATGTTCAAACATCATCAAACAACTTCCAAAAGCAGCAAAACCTTTAAAATGCGATTGAAAAAAGGGAGGGCTACAGTAGCTGAGGAGCGGAAGAATGGAGTGGTGTCATATTCACACTTTGTGTGTGTGTGTGTGTGTGTGTGTGTGTGTAAGAGATCCAGGCCCACAGAAGAGGTACCTTCAGAGTCCATGTCTCGCCAGGTCCACCCTCCATGGGCTCTACCCAGTGATATGTCCTAGATGAACAGAGGGAGCCCCTCTAATTATTAGACCAAACCTGAGTCTTTGGCCATCTTGTAGAAAATTCCCTTCTTGGCAATTAAACTGGATGGAGAATCAAATTCTGCCATCTTGCCTTTATCGAGAACCAGCACCCTTGAGAAAAAAAAAGTATTTATTTACATAAATATTTATTAAATATTATTATATAATAACAAAACATTGTTGTTGTTTTAGATTATACATTTTTTATTTGACATTTTTGCAGATTCATTATGCCAAAAACAAAGAATAAAGTATGCAGATTACCTTGTGTAGTCCATGATGGTGTTGAGGCGATGTGCGATAGTCAGAACGGTGCAGTCCTCAAACTGAGTTCGGATAGTGGACTGTATCAGATTGTCCGTCTCCAGATCCACAGCTGCAGTGGCTTCATCCAAAACCAGAATCTTGGTTTTCCTGAGGAGAGCTCGAGCCAGGCAAACCAGCTGCCGCTGACCCAAACTAAAGCCCAGAATATCCAGTCAGAAACAATCAGATCAGGTATTAGTCAAGTGATAAAGAGGGAGGAATCTTGTCAAGAGTTTATACCTGAGATTCTCTCCACCCTCTGAACACTCATGGTTGAGTTTGTCAGGAAGGCCGGACACAAAGTTCTTGAGATGTGCGAGTTCCAGAGATCTCCACACCTCCTCATCAGTGTACCCATCAAAGGGATCCAGATTCATACGCAAGGAACCTGAGAACAGCACGGGATCCTGAGATAGTGGAGCAAGGTGGATATATATATGAAAAAGACACACAAAAACAGCATAGTTCGATTGACATTGGCAAGTTAACTGGGGAAAAAAATTATATTCTGGAAGGAAACCAACAATGTGATACCTGTATTATTGATGACAGCAAATGCGTGACTTAAATTAGTTTTTAGGTCTATTCAAGCACGATACCTGAGGAATGATTGTGATTCTGGATCGTAGCTCATGCAAGCCCAGCTCAGCAATGTTCACTCCATCTATACACATCTCCCCCTGAGCAGCCTCAATGATGCGGAAGAGCCCTAATGTCAGAGAGGACTTTCCTGCTCCGGTTCTACCCACAATTCCCACCTAAGACAAACACACAAAAACATACATACATGATTGACTTTGTAGGTGAACAGATTCCTAAATGAACATTATTTACTGATAAAGTCAAAGCATGAACAGATTTTGGATATTGAAATGGTTTCACACACTTTTTCTCCTCCCTCAATGTTGACTGAGATATCACAAATAGCCAGCTCTAAGTCCTCTCTGTATCTCAAGCCAAAGTTGCGGATTTCAATGTGACCAACGGTCGGCCAGCCAGCAGGAAGAGTTGAATTCTCCAACCTCCATTCAGCCTGTGAACAGGAACATCAATACAGCACAGACCAATCACATCTCAACAATCCATCTTTAACACTGAAACAAATGATTGAAAGTACTTTGACATGAACTGACATAACATTTCATAGCAGACATCTAATACTATTTTAATCTGCTAATTACACTACCGTTCAAACATTTGGGGTTGGTACGATTCTTTGATGTTTTTGAAAGTCTCTTATGCTCACCAAGGTTGCCTTTATTTTACAGTAAAAAAGTAATATTTTGAAATATTATTACAATTTAAAATAACTTTTCTATTTGAATAGATTTTAAAATCTAATTTATTCCTGTGAAATCTTTTTTAGCATCATTACTCCAGTGCTCAGTGTCACATGATCCTGCAGAAATCATTATGATATGCCGATTTGATGCTCAAGAAACTATTATTATTATCCAAATTTGAAAAGAGTTGTGCTGCTTATTTGTTTTGTGGAAAACGTGATACATTTTTGTTTCAGGATGCTTTGATGGATAGAAAGTTCAAAAGACTACCATTTATTTGTAAAAGAAAGCTTTTGTAACATTTAGATGCATTTACTGTCACTTCTGCTCATTTTAATGCATCCTTACTGAATTAATTACGGTAATTAATTTCTTCACACAAAAAAAAATGATTGACCCCAAACTTTTGAATGCTAGTGTATACAATTAATGTAACGTGTATGTAATAATTATAAAGGAACATAGCATATTTGTACTTAAAAAAAAAAGTCACACTGCAGGTCCATTTGTAATGATCTAGTGAAGAAATTATTTTTTTAGAAATAGCAAAAGACAAATGGTAAAAAATGACCAGTTACAAGATCTCAGATATACACATTCCCTTTATACATTCATATACATTTTGACCTAAAATCCTCATAATGGCAAAAAAAAAAATCATGTTTCAATTACCCAAATTCTTTCTGGAAACAAGTGGATCATCTTGTAGACATACAGTCGTGCTCAGAATTACTGGTACCCCTGGTAAATATGATCAAAACTGGCTGTAAAAAAAATAAATCCGCATCGTTCATCCTTTTGATCTTTCATTAAAAAAATTGGCAAAATTCTAAATCACATTATGAAATAAATGTTTTTCTCCAAAACACGTTGGCCACAATTATTGGCACCGTTTAATTAAAGCTGCTGTCCGTAGCTTTTTTTGGGTTAAAACTTATCCAAAATACATATTTGATAAAATACATAACCAGCCAGTGTTCAAAACTATCTGCTTGCCTTAGCTCGATGCAAAACGGTAAGCTTGTAATAATGTTTTTAATTTTAGTGGTACTGGTGGATTTCCGCGGGAGATTCGAGCATGTCTTTGCGTCATTACGTCACATCTGTACACATAAAGAAGGAGTCTCGGCTAGTATAAGCTATATTGCGTGTGAGGATGTTGGAGGTAGAGATTTATAGCCTTTTCTCACAGCACTTGATATAATTAAACTTATCAATTTGATGGCGGATCCAGAAAGGTTCAAACGACGATCATCATCAGTGACAACTAGAGACTCACCCGCTGTAACATGCAAAAGACTTCGTTCGGACTTCGGAGTGGCTACAGAAAAAAAGAGACTGCAACCGGACCGATGCGAAAACAAGGATAATATCGGAAGGACATTACATGATGTAGTCACGCAATGCTTGCTGACGTTGTTAACATTAACAATTAGAGAACATAGTATAGCTACTTTGCACGGTTTTGAGTGAAATGATAACTTATAAGCAATTGTTAGATTTAATCAGCGCGATTTACTGCAATGTCAGAACCAGAACAAAAGTGAATGTTTCTTACTAGTTCAGATGACATTTTCCGGTGAAAATTCTTATGTTGGTCATACTTCCAAAAAGAATAATCTGTGATTCTGAATGACAATATCCACATCGGCGCGGTGACTGACAGCTGCACACTCTCCTCAAACACTGTGTTCATCCGCGCTGTGCCGTGTCGAGGGTGTTGAACTACAACCCGCGTAAAGTTGATAATTCCGCGAATGACTGCAATTGCAGATTTCGAACAGAGATGGCGACAAAGAGGAAAAATGCCGGACTGCAGCTTTAAATATTTTTTGCAATCTCCTTTTGCCAAGAGAACAGCTCTGAGTCTTCTCCTATAATGCCTGATGAGTTTGGAGAACACCTGACCAGAGATCAGAGACCATTCCTCCATACAGAATCTCTCCAGATCCTGCAGATTCCCAGATCCATGCTGGTGCTTCTCTTCAGTTCACTCCACTCATCAGGTCAGGGAACTGGGACGGTCATGGCAGAAGCTTCATTTTGTGCTCCGTAACAAATTTTTGTGTTGATTTTGATGTTTGTTTTGGATGGTTGTCCTGATGGAAGATCCAACCACGGCCCATTATAAGATTTCTAGCAGAAGGCGTCAGGTTTTGATTTTTTATCTGTTGATATTTGATAGAATCCACAATGCCATGTATCTGAACAAGAAGTCCAGGACCTCCAGCAAAAAAAAATAGGCCCACGACATTAAAGATCCAACGGTTTATTAAATTGTACACATGGGGTACTTTTTTATCCTTGTGTGCACCAAACCCATCTAGCGTGTTTGCTGCCAAAAAGCTCTTTTTTTAGTTTCATCTGACCACAGAACCCTGTGCCGTTTGAAGTACCAGTCATGTCTGACAACTGGATTTGCTGGAGTTTTTTCTTGGATGAGCGAGGAAGATTTTTCTTGAAACCCTCCCAAACATGTGGGGATGTAGGGGTTGTTTGAATATTTTTTTATAGGCTTTCTGAACCCAATCAACTAATCTCTGCAATTCTCCATCTATGATCCACAAAGAGTCTTTGGCCACTCAAACTTTCCTCCTCACCGTCCATTAAGGCAATATAGACACACGTCCTCTTCCTGGCAGATTCGTAACATCTTTAGTTGATTGTAACTTCTTAATTATTGTCCTGATGGTCCAAATGGGGATTTTCAACTCTTTAGCTATTTTCTTACAGCCACTTTCTATTTTGTGAAGCTCAACAATCTTTTGATGTACATCAGAACTATATTCTTTGGTTTTACTCATTGTAATGGATGATTACAGGAATTTGGCCTTTGTGTTTCCTCATATTTAAACTCCTGTGAAACAACAAGTCATGGCTGGACAATTTCATGTTCCTAGTCCTCCTGGTGTGCTAAAAAAGGTAAACATTAATGGGAATATACTTCAGAGATATTTTACTCGTAAAAAATTCTAGGGGTACCAATAATTGTGGCCAACGTGTTTTGGAGAAAAACATTTACTTCATAATGTGATTCCCCCCCCCACTTTAAATTATTTTACTTCAATGAAAGGTTAGATTTTTGCCAATTTTTTTGAATGAAAGATCAAAAGGATAAACGATGCAGATTTATTTTTTACAGCCAGTTTTGATCATATTTACCAGGGGTACCATTAATTCTGAGCACGACTGTAAACTATTCCCCGCCCCTCCCAGTGCGCTAACTGTCCTTATCTCTCTAGTACAGAGTGAGATAAGGAAACCAGGCTAATCACAGATTGGACTCTACAGAAGTACAGAATCGTCAAACACAATCTGCCAGCTGGTGCACTGACCTCTTTCTCTGTGTCTCCATATTCCTTCACCCTCTCCACCGCTACTATGTTAGTCTCCAGCTCAGAGGACATCCGCACCAACCAGTTCAGAGATGCTGTGACCTGTGTGAAATACAAGAATAGTAAGAACTTGGATGGACATCTGCCTTGTATCTCAGCATTTGTAGGTGTCAGACTGACCTGCAGCGCATAGGAGATGGAAAGCCCCATGATTCCTGGACTCAGACTGTCCCTGGCCATCACAGCAAAAAGAGCTGCAAATGTCACAATACAGTTCCCCACAAACTCCAACCTCACCGCCAGCCATCTCCAAGACACAGAGGCACAAAGACACACAGAAAACTTCAACTTTCCAAACAACAAAACACTAATATATCTAAGTAAATGAGACCTAAAACCTAGTGCGGTTCTGTGAGTTCTCACCGGTTAGCTACAATGCTGGGGAAATAAGCTTTTTGGTTGTGGTCCACTCTGCCGTCACTCTCCCTGATAAAGCGCTGCTGCTCTCCAAATGCTCGGATCACACTGGTGCCCAGCAGAGTTTCATTGAAGTGTGTGTAGACCGGAGAGCGGCTCACAGACTCCAGTCGTTTCAGTTGCCGGGAAGACGCCACGTAAAAACGCTAACAAAGACGGAAAGACACATTAGAGCAGCAACTCTCTATCTCAAATCTTTTCTATTTAAATGTATACTACTGCTACAACATTGTATTTTGCCCTAAAGAGTTGCTAGCCTATACTAACAAGCATTCAGAAGGTAAAATAACTGACTGACCTGTACAAAGAAGTAGAGCAGACCAAGAGGGGGGATGATGGCGGCTACCAGCGGCGTGGCGATGAGGATGACAGCACATGAGCCCAGCACATTAAACAGTGACCCCATGAACATTTTTATGATGCTAGGGATGACCGAGTCAATGGTGTCTGTCTCTTTGGAAAATCGATTGACCAGGTTGCCGCTGGGTGTGCGTTCGAAGAAAGACATGGGCGATCTCAGGACATTGTAGAGCATTGTCTGGTGCAGGTAGCGGGAGGCTAAGATCCCACCAATAGACACTGACACAGAATAGCAGAACACAGCAATGCCTGGCACAGAGAGAAAAGAAGAAGAAAAAAGTATAAAAAGCTGGCTTTTCAGAATCAAACTAGTTTCTGGACCAATTTACTAAAACAATAATCCATAAAATATACATTTACATTTAAAAAAAAAAAAGTAAAACAAAACAACATTTGGAAACAAATAGGATGTTTAATTGTAAAACCCCACATTGCATTACTTTTAATAATAGGGGCTGTAATTTAACATGTTTGTATGTTTAATTTGACCACTGGTAAAAGTTTGATTGAAAACATTTCTTACACAATTTTATCATTAAAAATTAATTCAAACATTTTCATTTCAAAATATTGTTGTTTTTTACAAAATACTACCATTATTAATTGGCAGCGCTGATGCAATAGACATTTAAAAAAAAAAAATTATATTTCGAATTTATTGACTTTTAAACGAAATTCTTGAACTGAAATATTCATGTTAAACTGCAACCTCAAAAATGGTTGGCTAAATGGCTTATATATACACATACATACCATTTTTATATTTTTATTTTTTTCAATTAGAGCAATTCAATATGGTCTTTGGTCTCAAATACTTTTATCTTAGTATTCCAAATAGCTATGGTATGTGCATATATCCATACAACTACATCTAAAAGCTTTACTTTGGTAAAACTTTTAAAGAAGTTGTGTAATGCACTTGGACCTTGAGTACAAGTAGCCAAATTAATAACAGTTTTCAGGAATTTAAAATGTGAATTTATACAATCAAATGCAACCAACTGAAAGTCAGTTCTTTTAAAATCACCTTGTGAGAGTCCCAGGCCTCCATACACCCCTAAACGCATCTCTCTGTTGGGCTGGGTGTTGTTGATAACAGGGTCATCTGTCCAGAGACTGAGCCAGTAGTTTGAGCCCAGAGAGGACAAATGATGACAGAAGAACAGAAAGATACTGAAGATGGACAGGGGCAAGCCGATAGCCTTCATGTACTCCCAAAACACAGATAGCTTCACCTGCACAACAAACATCATTCACTAAATCTCAGAATCAAAAGGAACCAGTCAGCTCAAGTGAGACACAAATTAAGCCTTGACATGATTTTGAGAGAAACTATTGACCATAACCAAAAACAAATAGCATGTCCTCAGGGAATCATGCTCTCACATCCTGACATAGAGACGGTGGATTCATACCTTGCCAGTGTTGGCTTTGTCTGCTTCGGTCAGTCGGGCAGATTCTGCAGATTTGGTCTTCTTTGCAGCATCAGCATCGTTTGGTTCAGTCTTCTGTGTTTTACCTGTCCCGGCTGCATTTAGAGAGTTCTGACTCTCTCTACAGGACACAGAGAAACACCAGGCTAGTTGATAATGTCAAAATATTATTAGTACTTTAAACGTTAAATGGTTGTTACATATTATACGGTGTCCTAATCAACCTTAACACAAGTCATTTTAGAATCTAGCACATATGAGCGAGTGCACATATCTGATGCATTGGTTTACATGGTTTCGTTTTGGTTTTAATTTTGATGGACAGAATTTAAAAATTCATGAGAGATGTAGCAATGACTTATTCACTGATTCATGATTTGGCCACAACAGTTCTTCTCACGGAGAAGGAAATTATCAGCGAATAACTGGTCGCAATTCGTTTCCCACACAAAGCTGTCATATGACTTCAAAAGACTTATTCTCCTGATACCAAAGAAAGAAAAAGTTGTCATTACATTGTTTAGAACATAAGAAACAATTGGAGAAAAAAAATATTTCATTCATATGTCAACGCTATGTCCACCAGGACTCACTTGTTTAAAAAATAAAAAGTCATTAAATTACATGTATATAGGCAAAAATAATGGGATTTTTTTCATTCACCAGTCAATTTTTAGGTTTCAGGATTTTTTTTTTTTTTACCAAACTTTGTATAAAGATTATTCTTAAAATTCTGAAAAGCCCTGAATGTGCTCTCTACGGGACATCCAGACATACAATGTGACATGTATGGTGTCAGAGAAATTCACTAAAATGTACCGGTAATGTCCACTACAGTGGACAAAAGTCTATTCCTGGGTCCAGTGGCGGCTGCTGGTCTTTCAAAGAGGGGAAGCTAATTTTTTTGGGGGGGAAAATACTAAGTAATAGTTACTGTCCTTTTACTACACCAATCACCGTACAACTAAGGTTACTGTGGTAAAAGCATGGTAAGTCTTGTAGTTACACTGCATTTACAACAAATGAAACATTAAAACTACCAATAATGTGGTAAAAGCATGGTAATCAAAACTTATTACCATGCTTTTTTGTTAAACTGAAACAAGGAATGTGTTGTATAATTGGTATTTGCTTGGAGAAATTGCTAGCCAATTTTCATCATACATTTCACACAAGAAATAGTTTGCAGCAGTTTGTCTTTCGACTACACTTTCAAAATCCGCGATGGGACTGACTGAATGTCAGCGACCGTTTACTGTACAAAATCGCTGTCAATCAAAAGGGGATGCAGTCCTCCAATCATCACGCAGAAGCCCGGAGTCCAGGCCAGCCCACTCCTCCATTCACCCCCAGAGACGCTGAGCGCCCGTGAGCGGGACATAATCGCAGCCTTTATCCAATGACCGTCTAGTTTCGAAGCACTGAAAAAAACTGTTCAAAGCAGCCCCATTGAAGTCAATGGACGCTCGGCTTCAACGGGGAAATGCACTATGACGCTACGGTCATGTATGAGGAGGAAATCGAGTCAGCCGACCTGCTATATGTAGCTGATTCTGAACTAACTCGTCTTCGAGATGAACGAATTTTTAGTCAATAAAATGTTAACACAATAGTACATATTCGACCATTAATTTTTTGACATTATAGGGGAAGCCGAGCTTCCCTTGCAGTCTTAAAGAAATCCCCACTACCTGGAGGATATACAAAATGCAGCGTACAAATCAAGACAGAAAAATTTACTCGCTGCAGGTCCCGTCGCAACAGGTCTGGAGACCGTCTTTATTCAGAACAAAGAAATGAGTTAGAAAAGACATCAGCAATTCCTTACCCCAACAGGGCAGCAGGACCCCCATTTTCGAGTCCTTTCCGTGGGACTGCATCTGTGCGGATGAGAAAATATTGACTAAATCAGACAGAATTACATAAATCTTCCTACATGCTTCATGCCATTCCATGTCCATACCACTAACAGAACTCAACCTTTCTCTCTATTATCTATAAGTCACGTAATTCAAAAGCGCCTATGCAACAACACAATTGTTTGCAAGAATTTTTGTAATCAAGCAGCAACTACAGCATCAGTGTGCCCTTGAATACAAACATCTATATTTAAAATAGCAGTAAAAGACAATAATAATTTGCTTTAAGCAACCACATCTCTAAGGCCAGTTGAACGAGAGACAGCCTAACGCTAAAGCAATGTTTTTAGGCTCAGAGGTGTGGGTTACAGTTAGAATAATCACCAGCAGGCTGCGCTGTAACAGTGCCGAGCATCTCAGACACAAGTAAGACACAAGACTGGTGAAGGTCAAAGGTTGAAGCACATTCACAGTGCTCCATTCTAGCAGAGTGATGAGTGTAAATGTCCTACACATACTATAAGACCTTTCCCTGTGTGTCTGAAATGAAATTAGCTTATTTACAAATATCATGTGCATCAAATATAATACCTTATATACTTTTGTATTTTATATATTTAAATTACTTCCGAACATTTCATTAAAAGCAGCATGTGAAGGCAATGCAATGTTGAATTAAATGTTAAAATACAAATGTATAAATGTTCGGGGTCAGAAAGATTATAAAGAAATGTATACTTTTATTCAGCAAGGACACATTAAATAGATAGAAAAATGATAGTATAATAGAATTACAAAATATTTAAATTATCCAACTATTTCTATTTATCAAAAAATACATTATCATACTTTCCAAAAAAATATTAAGATGCACAACTGATCGTAATAAACATTGATTATTTCAACATTGATTATAAGAAATGTTTCTTGAGCAACAAACCAGCGCATTAGAATGATTTCTGACGGATGCTAATTCAGCTTTGTAAATTTGCCATCACAGGAATAAATTACATTTTAAAATATTAATTTAAAATTGTAATCTCACAATATTGCTGTTTTTTCCTCTATTTTCAATCAAATAAACTTTTGAATGGTAGTGTAAGCTCTCAAAAATTCTCATGAACGCATGTTTATGTTGTGTGCATATTATGTAATTAATGTAGTAACGTAGTCAGTCACTTCATTGTTCAGCTCTCAAGTAGAACTGTGATCCAGTGTGAAACTGTGAACTTCATCAAAATGGAGCACAGTGCAAGGATGTGCAATAGGTAAATGTATGGTTGTGAGCTAAAATCCAATGGTAATGAAGTGGGAACGTACTAAGGAATCTAACTCAGTCTACACCTCAAATATTTCAGACCTGCATAATAAGCCCTACTCTAACATGCAGTACATGCATTGCAGACCTATTCAATTTATATGGCCCGGGGACCAATTACACCCTCAAACCTTCATATTTCCCTTTTTCGTCCTCTGCCTCCCCTCCCTCTTCTGAAGAGCCAACAGAGGGGACACAAAAAATAGGAACACATGGAGATGAAGACATATATACACACAGACAAAGAGATTTATCTCTAGACATGGATTACATAGAGGGGGGAGAGATCACACGCAATGTGAACAATAGTAATCATTCAGAGGAAATGGCTTTGTGAAAGGACAGATGCATGAAAGCATAAAAGTAGTTCAGACATGATGAGGCTAGCCTCACCTCCCCCTGACGACTCCTCCTCCTCCTGCTCTGTGTTGGAGTAGATATGCAGGAACTCAGCGAAGGCACCCTGTCTGCTCAAAAGCTCGGCATAAGAGCCCATCTCTGTGATTTCTCCATCCACCATCACCAGGATCAGGTCAGCCTGGGGCAGGAAGCTCAGCCCGTGGGTCACCAGAACCCGAGTCTGAAAAAAGCACCATGCGTGATGTGAAATGTCTATAAGAGATGTATACATATTTGGATAATGCATGGGAAATGGCCTTACTCTGCCCTGTAGCAAGCCCTGAGGTCCGATGACCTTCTCAAAGATGTGTTTTCCTACATGAGCGTCCACGGCGGAGAGCGGGTCATCCAACAGATACACAGCACAGTTGCAGTACACAGCCCTGGCCACACTCACCCGCTGTTTCTGACCTCCAGACAGATTCACACCCTAAAATTACAGCGTCACATGATTAACCCAATTATCTGTTAGTATATATTTAAGGCAAGACACCACAGGTGAATTTTTAATTAAAAGAAATCACCATACTACCCCATTTATTAATCGTAATACATTAACACAATTGTTTTGTTTTCCAAGTTTTATGAAATGTTCTGTTTTAATATGCATATGATGCATTATCTAAATAAATATGCACTAATTTGCATACATTTCTAGTACAGAAATCTGAACTTTGTATAAAGCTAGGTTTAAAAATCTTTTTTCGTTTTGCTGACATATTAGAAGTAAAAGTTTTGGATTTTGGATGTCCATTTTAATCACTCCAAAAATCAGAAAATACTGTCAACAGGCACAATGTTCACAATGTTTTTAGGAATACAATGTTACCAGATATGTAAGTGCTACTGAACTGGAGATTTCCGGCTCTGTGGAGGAAAAAAATGACCTTTGCGCGATTATGGGTGTAACTTCCGTTAAGCTGTAAACAATCAGTGAAAGGCTCGCTCTACGAACACAATATGTTAAAAAAGAAGGTCACAATGAGATGACTTTATTCTACTCACCCTTCAACCATCGAACATTAAAAGGACATTTAAAAGCATCAACAAGGTACTTTCAACAAACCATGAATAACCCCAAAAGTGCGATTCTTTCCACAGCAATAACGGACGGGTTAAATATCACTGTAGTGATATATATCTATTATGTAACATGCGTTGCCTTAATCAAAAATGTTCATTAACTTCAGCATTGCGTGCTACTATTTCAAAGTGATTTTCGTCATTTTGACAGATAATAAATTGTATTTACCTGTGAAAACAAACATGGAAAGAGGCGTGAAGATAAAAAGAAAAACGAGAGATTCTTTGTGCATGGCAGTGAATTATTAATGGGATATATGGTAAATTAAATCGGGAAATGTGCAGTATATGTTGTCTTTTTTCATTCTATTACAGTGGAATGCAAAGGGAAAAAAGAAAATAATCCTGAGGAAAAGAATGCAGTGACTGAAAAGAACTCTTGCCACAAATATTATTGTTATAACATGTCATGTTAAAATGCTAAGTGTCATGTTATTCTCATGATGTCTGAAAATGAATCATGAAGGAAAACTGACGGATCAGCTTTATTTGTAGGGCAACCTTGTGATTTAAAAAGATTCGTTTCAGTGTTTTTGAATGGAAGTTCCACCCCATAATTCAAAATGCAGTAAGCATATCAGGAATAAGGTGGATAAATCACCTATAAATGATGTGCTGTAATTTAAATCTAGAAGATGAGTAATAAAACGAACACTTAAATGTGCATACTGCATGTTTTGTCTAGTCTTGACTGTTGCATTACAATCAGCCTTTGATGGTATGTAGCTTCAATCACTATTCTATCGTACTTGGTTAAGAGAAAATGTAAGAATCATTCTAAAATCTGTTTACCTTCTCTCCAATCTCCGTAGTGTCTCCTCCAGGTAGGACCTCCAGGTCAGGTAGGAGAGCACAGGCCTCCACCACTTTCTGGTACCAGCTGTCTTTGGTTTCCCGTCCAAACAAGATGTTGTCTTTGAGGGTGGCGTTTTGGATCCAGGCCTGCTGAGGCACGTAAGCCACAGAGCCCTGAAAAACACAGTCAGACACTCAATGTGTCTCTTTATTATCCCTTTATTACAGTTATCCAAATACACAGAGGGTTCCAGAGGGATCTTATTTTTTATTTAAACCTTAAATGTCATTAAGACATTGTCTTTAAGAAATCAAAACAAAGAAATTTATGACATACAATGGATAACAAGTATTTCAGATTCTGCACCATTCTAAATCAAATAAGTATATTGGGGACATTGATCATGTGACAGTCAGATGTTCTTGCTTCCATTGAAGCTTAAGATGGCTTTTTGGATAATTTTCAAATCATGAGGAGTTTATGCAGCTCAAGTGCTGCTGTCATTAAAAGGGAAGAAATCAAATACTGAGACATTAAGAAATTCAAGCTCAAATTTCATTACATTTATGTGAAGCTAATTTAATGTAGACGTAATAAAATATGATCATTTGTAATCAAATATGATCAATTATGAAATATTTTATGATCATATATTTAATATAAAACATTAATATATGTAATAATATAGTCAATTACATTTAATACAAAATAATAATGCAAAATATAAGCATTTTCAGCAAATATAAGCCCCAGTGTATATTCTGTTAAACTTAAATACAACATTGCACTATATATTTAAAAGAGCCACTGTTTTCAGATATGTAGCTTGACTCGATTACCTTGATTGACACATTTCCTTCTTGCTTCTCCATCTCACCCAGCAAAGCTGAAAGCAGAGAGGATTTCCCTGAACCCACATGCCCTACCACAGCAACCAGCGCCCCCTCAGGATACACACATTAATCCTGGAGAGGGAGAGAGAGAGAGAGAGAGAGAGAGAGAGAGAGAGAGAGAGAGAGAGAGAGAGAGAGAGAGAGAGAGAGAGAGAGAGAGAGAGAGAGAGAGAGAGAGAGAGAGAGAGAGATAGAGAGATAGAGAGAGAGAGAGAGAGAGAGAGAGAGAGAGAGAGAGAGAGAGAGAGAGAGAGAGAGAGAGAGAGAGAGAGAGAGAGA